TGACCTAGTGATGAGCACCTTTCTTTTTTTATGCACTGCTAGTATCTTATTCCCTCAAACTTCCTTAACTCTCTCTGCCATTTGTTCTATTTCCCCAAAGCTGTATTCATGGCTCCTATCAAATTAACCATTCATCCACTAAGAATGTACTGAGTGCCCACAATGTGGCAGACATTTAAGAACCACTCAGTATTCAGTGATGAGCATAAACATGGCAGCTGCCTACCACTCACAATTAGCAAACCAATGTAAGGATTCAGAAAGCGGAAAAGAGAGGAAAATGATGCTATACAAGGGTACTACCCTTGAATACAGTGATTCTTCCCACCAGCTTGAGAAAGACTCTAATCACACAGAGCAGCCATGGAGGAATCTAGTAAGAGAAGTAAAATGTTCCCATCACTTTTCTTCTGGGGAGAGGAAGGTTGTATGGAAATTGTTTTTTCTTATTGTAGAAACCTAAATGTGAAGAAATAGGGAGAAGACTTTCTCTTAATACCAGTAGTATTCCTTGACAGTGTTGAGTGTCCATTTGGGATTGGTTATTATTAATTCATAGGGACACCAGCCTATCTGGTTGAATGGTTTTCCTCAAAAACATTCAGATACACTCTGGAATGATCTAGATATAGTTTTCCCAAATGAAGATGACAGAAGGAGAGGGCTTGGGAATTGAGATGTTTCTAAGAGAAAAACTGTAGTCATGTTTCATAGAACTAAGACATAGGAGGAGGTAAAGACAGCAAGATATTGATGGATAGAAAGTCATAGAGTTGGGCAGTGGATTACAAATCTTAATAAAATTAAATAATTATCAAAGTAAAAATATGCTGGTGTGCTGTGAGATTTTGATCAAAAAGTAAATTAAATTTTTCATTTTGGGGGTGGTGAACATTTTTGATGATGAAAAGGAAGTGAATGAGAAAGGCAGAATGGAGGGGAAAGTTCATTAGAGATGAGGAAGTCAAGAAACTGAGAGATTACATCAGAAAGTTAAATGGATATTGAAATCAGTGAGCAAAATGACAAGAATTGAGATAGAAAGAGAAACAAAGCAAAGTTCTAGTCTTCAGTACATTGAGAATGACCAAGCAGTTGGCAGATGACAGCAATGATAGAGCCAGATGGCATAAGCCTCAAAGGAACAGGGGATTTTAATTAATTAATTAATTTATTTATTTTACATTAGGGTTGGAAGAGAATAATTATCTGGAAGTGGCATTGAGGATGCAGAAGCTACCTCCTGAGCCTATAGAATGAACAACATGAGCATGCTGGAGGGAAAGCTGTGTTCTCAGGGACTAGCCATTCTCAGTTAAGGCAAAGAAGAGAAAACAATTCTGAGACAAGACTGTTCTTTGAAAATGGAATAGGAGTTGCTAATACTGTAGCTTTCTAGGCATAAAAAAATCAGTAGGGCCCTGACCAGTGTGACTCAGTTGGTTGGAGTGTCATCTCTTACACCAAAAGGTTGGGAGTTCAATTCCCAGTCAGGGTACATACTTAGGCTATGGGTTCAATCCCTGGTTGAGGCACGTATGAGAAGCAACCAATCGATGTTTCTCTCTCACATTGATGTTTTTTCTTTCTCCCTCTAAAATTAATAAAAATATACATATATATTTTACCTTTAAACATAGTTTTTATTTTTATTTTTTTTTAATTTTTATTGTTGTTCAATTTAAAAAAGAACCAGTAGGGTTTTTTGTTTGTTTATGTGATCAAAACCAGATCTTCCACATGGGACAGATAAGATGTGACTAAGAACTTATAACCCTGATCCCTGTCCTCCATAGTTCACCTTCCCTATCATACCACCATCACAGTGGTTTTAGGGGGTGCAGCATCCCCCTTACCAGTAGTGCCAGAGTGTAGTCTCATAATTCTTAATTCTCCAATAACACACTTAAGACCGGATTGTAATCCATGATTTTATTTCTCCTCTCTTCTCTAATGTTTTCCTTTTCTTTAAATCATCCATTCATTCAGTGAGACTTTCAAATCCCAGAAGGAAATCAATATAAAGTAACATGCAGTAAGATGGCATTGCTTATAAAGAACTGTTATTTATCATCAACTCTTGAATTCTTTACAGGGAGGCCTGACTCAAGAAAGCAGATCCTAAGAAAAATAGATGCTCCTTTGCCCTCTCCATTAGAGCTGCCTTTCAAGATCCAGTTTTCAGTCTGAAGGACTGTCTTTTCCCTAAAATCAGTGATTTTCAACTGGCATGCTGCAAAAAAATGTAAAACATGCAGTGCCTGACTATTTAGTCAGGGGCACTGACTTCTTCTCCCTTAGATTGTCAAGTTAAAAAATGACAACAGCTAACACAACAATAGCTGTCCAGTGTGAATGAATCAAAATTATACCTTTTTTTTGTCTGATTGGCAAAAAATATATTTTTTGGCGTGCCACAGAAGTTTAGTAATTAGTTTATGTGTGCCAACACAACAATAGCTGTCCAGTGTGAATGAATCAAAATTATACCTATTTTTTTGTCAGATTGGCAAAAAATATATTTTTTGGCATGCCACAGAAGTTTAGTAATTAGTTTATGTGTGCCATGAGGTAAAAAAGGTTGAAAATCACTGCCCTAAATGATTGACAGCAGGATTCCCAATTGTTGTAGGGAAAACCTACCCCCTGTTACAAATAAAATCTTAATCTGAAGCCTAACCTTATTAGAATTTTAAACCTGATATCCATACCTGCGCCCAGAAACTGGAGATCAATTAATTACATAGAAAGCAGCAGATGTCATATTGAGACCCTTTATTCTAATGTATCAATAAGGGCTGTTGTATAGCATAATTGCATATACTGTACTTTGTTGTATTTTACTTTATAGAATTATTTGCCAACTGTATTCTAAATGTTTTCAAAATTAAATGCCAGGTATTAGAAAACATGGTAATTCCTGGAGTGTAAGACATGTCTCTGCCTAATATATAAGCATTTCAACATTGAGTTTTCAACCACAAAAGCATGTTTCTAAAAATCTTACAAATGGTAAATTAACTAGGAAGGGAAATAAAATTAATGAAGATGTGGTGCTGAATAAATTAAAACTTTCAGCCTAATAACATAGCTTTAATTTTGTCTTAAGGCACTGTACATCTGCCTAAATTCACACATATAAAGATGAGTAGTGGAACAATAACAGATTAATTATCCCTCAAAAAAATGTTTAAAGCAACAACTTAAATGAACTCCATTATTTGTAGCCTGCTAAAGATAGTGGGAGGTGAATTTTTATTGTCAATGGCTATATAATACAGTAGTCCTTGAGAAAAAAATATTTAAGTATAATCACTTGAGAATCTCTGGTGGAAATTCTGAGGAGAAACAGGAAAGCAGAAGAAATGGCAAGAAAGGGGAGGTGAAATACTTCCTTCACATTCCCACAATAAATAGTACTTATGGTATCAGGTAACAAACTGAATTGTAATTTCAGCAATAAGGATGATGAAAGTATGCAGAGGTTGAGAGGACCCGATAATCCATTGGTCCTCTGCAAAGACCTTTGATGAAGTCTTTGTAGAAGTCAGGCAAGTAATAGACAAGTTTGCTTACGGATGATCTCAATGCTCAGAACCATTGACAACTTGGAAACTGAGATACATGCTATCTTTGGCTCATACAACTTTTAGCGCTTTCCCTCCAATAAAATTAATTAATCCAGTATAACAAATATTAAGTGATGTCTATCATTTGCCAGGCTATGCAATTGTTAGGTACAAAATAGGTGAAAAATATTTGACCCTCAAGGAGCCTTGAATTTAATGGGAGACATACCAGCACCTCCAATGAGAGCATTATGAAAATTGATATAATCATAATGGCAGTATGCTTAAGGTCTAATAGAATATAAGAGGAGTACCCGAGAGAAGTGAAGGTGGGGAGGTCAATGGCAGGGAAGGCTTCTTATATACATGATTTTTGATCTGACACACGGAGGAGAAACAAGTTTGTTAGGCAAAAATGGAGAGAAGACATTCTAGGTAGAGAAAATAACATATTGTAAAGGCAAGAAATATGAAACAATATATGGCCTTGTCACCTTGCCTCATGATTCAATCAGGAAACAAATGGTACAAGTGAAGGTTAACTGAAAAGAGTTTAATGAAGTAACCATTTACAGAAATGTGGGAAAGATCAAGGGCACCAACAAAGAATGGTGAAGCATTCAGGGATAGCTACAGTGGGAAGACAGATGGAGCAGAAGAGGATGAAGTTGGCAGAACCTGGTGAAAGCCATGGGAGTGGGCCCACCCAACAGGAACCTTGGCCAGAAGCAGAGGAACATAACCAATGCCAAGTCACAGGCTGGTGGGGGGTGGGGGCATGGGGGTGTCAATACCTATCTTCTCTTTCTTCTAGGCTCCAGCTGGCACCTCACATTGGCTGGACCCCACTGCAAGCCAGATGGCAAGGGTGTTTGGGAAAGCTTTCTGTAAAGGGTCAGCTTCCTGAGGCCCAGGGAGTGGAGACTAGATCTGGAGAGGCAAAACTCATTAGCATACCTCCTCCCATATCTAAATAATTTCCTTTTTCTTGAATAAGTATAGGATAGGACTCTAACTGTGATTAACATGATAGCAAGTTTGCTGGCAACCTCTGCCCTTCACCAGATCTTTCTGTGTGTCTATTTTAAACTACAATGATGTAGTAATTATTGTAGAACTACAATTATTCTTTCAGACATTTAAAAAATAAAAACAAATAATTCTAAAATAGTGTGAGAAGATATACCATGTAAGTGCTTGTCTATCTAAAAATAACTTCTTGTTCAGTGGTTGAAACTGGCTTGCATATTAGTCTCAGAATATTTTTGTTCACTTAAGATACTTTGTACTTGATTTTATAAATTCTAATTAAATCACATTAAGGTATATTCAAATTTTATTATGGTGAAATATTTCAAATTTTCATTATTTGAAAAGTGGGAATAAGAACAACTTGCTCTTTTACAACCATTTTTTCTATTTATTTTTCAGATCAATAACTCGATCTTATTACCGCAACTCAGTTGGTGGATTTTTAGTATTTGACATAACTAACCGACGATCTTTTGAACATGTGAAAGATTGGCTAGAAGAAGCAAAAATGCACGTACAGCCATTTCGGATTGTATTTCTGCTAGTGGGACACAAATGTGATTTAGCTTCACAACGTCAAGTCACAAGAGAAGAAGCTGAAAAACTGTCAGCAGACTGTGGAATGAAGTATATAGAAACCTCAGCAAAAGATGCTACAAATGTTGAGGAATCCTTCACTATCTTAACAAGAGACATATATGAACTTATCAAAAGGGGAGAGATTTGTATTCAGGATGGCTGGGAAGGGGTTAAAAGTGGTTTTGTCCCAAATACTGTGCATTCTTCTGAAGAAGCAGTGAAACCCAGGAAAGAGTGCTTCTGCTGACTTCAAACATGCCAAAGAATAAGAACAGATTGAATGTCATTTCAGGATAAACACCAACATTACCAGGAAAATGACACAATGAAAACATTTATAAAAAAGTGCTAAACCCATATTAACACTATTTTGTAAGGTATTTGATTCAGAGCATGATGCTTACTTGTAACACTACAAGATTAAGTATTTTGCTAAAATATCAGGCAAATAAGACAACTTTTTCTTGAAACTACCAAATTACCCCATTCTCACTTTGTTGCATATAGCTGAACTTAATTTCCAAATATGTCAATATTACTCATTTTTCTTGACAGATTGAAATGGGCTTTTTGTACAAATATAGTCTGATTGAAAAAATTGTATCAAGAATTACATTCTCTTGATTTAATTTATTAATATTGAATAGTAAAGTGGATTTAAAAATGCACTGTTCACTTACAAATTAAGCAATCTCAGAGGCATCAACTAAGACTAAAATAGCAGTTTTTTGTTTAAGGTACCAGGTTTTTAACTATTCTCTGAAATATTTGTCTTCCCTTAATTTTGCCTGAGCATAAGAAAATAAGTTTTATACTCATTTTTGTTCTCTGATTTATTGCTCCTGAAAATTTTGTTTTATGAAGCTATGTAGGTATCCAAGCAAAATATTTTATTGCAAATATTTGTAAAAATAAAAGCAAAGGACCACTTATCAGCAAATGTTTTGATGTTATATTATACTGTCCCTATTTAGACAAGAAAAACGAATGTATTTATATACTGACGTTCTCACAGAAGTAAATGAAATTTACTCAAACTAAATGCAATTTACCCTGAACTATTATCAAAATTATCAATATAAGTAAATATAGAATGTTTTTAGTAATAGCTTTTTGTCCAAGTAAATTTCTAAATTTCCCCATTTCCAATAAAAGAAAATTGTAGTAAAGATTTTCCTGGACAAGGTTAGAAGTTTGATACATTTAGCATTCAAATTGGACTTTACATCTCATCAGTCAAGGTAAAGATAAAATAATGAGTTAAGGCTACAAAATGACTTTTGAGTTTCTGAATTTTTAACTTATTGGTTAAATTCCCCTCCTGGAAAAGACAGTTTGATGATAATGTCAAATATTTTACAACACACATTTCTATTCTGTTCTATAAACCATTCCTATCACAAAGGGGCACCATGAAGCTGCCTTTTTGGAATCATGAGGTTTTTACTGTTAAACTATGGTAGCTTCATTTTGTTTGAAAACCAAAATGGTATGGTAGGAAGAATATTTAAGGAGAAATAAAAAAACCTGAGTTCTAAGCTTGCCTTTGTTGTACCGGCATTTGTACACAAATAAGTCACTTAACCTCTCTAAGTATCCATTTTCTCATCTGTAAAGTGAGGCTAATAACCCCATTTATGGGATTATTTTGAGAATCAATTGAACCATGTGAAAAAGCTTTATAAACAGAGAAAGCAACATACAAATGTTAGATTGGTATCAGCTGCTCATGGGCATACTATTATATTTACAGTGGATAAGAATTTGGATTTCTCATGTTCTTTCCCTGCATTCCCACATTCTGCAGAGAGAGCAGAAAAGGTGCATGTTCTCATGGACCCTAGGGAATGCTTGGTTTGATGTACACCTTCTGCCCTCCTATCCTGGAACTCTGCTCCTCCAAAGTGCAAATGATGGAAAGGGAAATCCCAGGAGACTTAAATGAATCAAAATCATGTTTAAATCTAGATTCTGTGCATCTTAAAAGTAGATATTTAATTATGTTTTTAAATACTTGTACATGTAAGTTGCATGTAAGTATTTTTAATAGCACATAGAGAGAAAAATAACATTTTTGTATATTTATACTGTCAATATTTTCTTAATATCCTTAGATTAATTTCACTTGAGTAAGTTCAAACTATAATTGACCAGATAAGAAAATACCTGTTCCCCAAAATGTGAAATAATCTATTTTTATTGTTAAACTTTTGTATCTTAGTGGGAGCTGGCAGTGCAGAGAGGAGGCGGCACTGGTCTGCAGCAACAGCTCCCACCAGCCCTTGGGGCACTCACCCCTGTGCTCAAGCAATCATTGTCAATGACAAAGTGACTATTGAAGTTATAATTGTATTAAATTAATGCTAATAATTTGGATATTTTATTTTATTTTTGGCTGCTCAGGTAACATTAGCCCTTAACTAAGTATATGTGGGTTTCCTTTTTTTTTTCCTTTCTTTTTTTCCTTTTTTTTTGGGGTACAGCTGTAAAATATTTGGATATAGGAAATGTGTTATTCTTGCAGCCTTGATATTCAGGGTGGATTGTAAAATATAAATTTTTGTGAGATTTCAAAGATTAAGATTATTTTGATAACATTATTTACAGATTTAAAAGATGTGGTTATCACAAGTCTTGAGGGGGAAACTACTGCATAAAATAACTAACTTGGAATAAATATTTTGCATCAGTTTGAAAAAAAATTTGTATCTTATATTATAATTTTCCATCAGCCCAAAATGGCATAAACTCAAAAATTGAATATGTAACAGCAGTTTAAAGTATAGTCACCTGTCCCTACTTATAAAATTACACAGCTAAAATACAAAATGTGATTTAACTTTTAGTGGACACCCTTTGTGATGCCAATTAAGACTAATATTTGGGCTAAATGGTATGATGTGTTCCAAGATTCAGAATAGAATTAAGAATAGAAAAAACAAATGACAAGGCAGGGCCTCCAAAAGTTGATAATTACCAAGGCCACACATGAGCAGAAGCAAGCCTAGAACTCTGGTTCTCCTTCCATCTTGTTCAGGGTTCTTTCCATTACCATGCTGTGTTGGGTGTGTATGTGTTTGTGTGTGTGGTGAAGAAAAGGGGAAATTTGATTTTAGCTGAATCCACAAAATACTAAAATTGGGCTAAATCATTCTGATGTTTTACAGGAGCTATATATAATAAAACAATTTTAAAATGAACAATGACACAAAAATCCGAGTTCTTATACAGGATTGCCAAACGTGTATAATCTTAGCCAGATATCTTTATCCAGATATATATATATATATATATAAAATAGCTAACCTATTTTCTTACATATCATTATAGAGCATGTGGGTAATAATGCCAAAATAGTAAAAATATTTATTTGAGGCAAACATTTTGACTAAGTGTCTTAGAAGTCAGATATACATGAATCATATAATTGAAATTATTTAATTTAAAATCTATTTAGTTTACATTTAAATCCATTTAAATTAAAAATTTTAAACTACTGAATAATGTAGCTAATTACTAAATATTTTAAATAAATATCACTTTTAAAAAAGAAATGAAAAGCGATCTAATTATATGATAAACTTGTCCCTAACTGAAATTGGTCATTTTTTAAAGTATATTTTATTGATCATTTTGAGTTGCATTAACACTTTTAGTACATGTGGTGATGTGATGATTTGTTAAATGGTAATAAGCTTAAGCCAAAATAACTATGTAATCAGAGTGCTTTTAAATCTTGTCTTTATATATATAATAGTGGCAAACAAGATTTCTTGAGCCTAGAAACTTGAGAGTTTACTCTAGATTTTAAAAAGCCACAAAGAACTCCAAGATTTTTGTGTGATGGCAACAAAATCCATCTTTATTATTAAGATAAACTTGCCAGTCTATCCAGCTTTACATCATCAAAAAATGAACCTATGGATTAATAAAATCATGTTAAGAATGTTTTCATTACGTTTTATATTTCCCCTGGTTCAATTAATTACAAAGCTTCCATTGACTTCAAAAAGTTCACTATGTTTGAATAATATCCTTAGGTCTGACAGAGAGAAGGATTTGAAAGACTAAAGGCCCATTTCATAAACTAACCCATTTGTTCTCAAGTAACCGCCTGGAGAGATTTAGTTGGAAATGCAAAGGAAACATGTTGTCTTTAAGGAAAAAAAAAGATTATAAAGGCTTTAAATTTAGATCCTGTATATTTTAACATAGAATACATTCCCAACTAGAAACTAACTCTTGGAAATTCCACAGCTGATAAATAGCTATCTCTGCTTTCTAAATCCAAATGTTTTCACTAAACTTTACTGAGCAACCAATCTTCACATGGTTTTAAAATAACTAACAAACTATTTTAAACCTAAATGTACTGCTGCATGACTTGGTATTTTTATAATCTTAATAACCAATTAAAGTAGACATGAGTGATGAGCTGTGACAATCTCTATCAATCATTAACTATCTAGTTCACTTACTATAAGTAATCATGGAAAGAATAAATGAAAAGAAAATTCTTTGAAATTTTAAAAAGTAGTGTTCTTGATTGTTATCTCTCTGGGAACATTTTTTGTCTTTTTTTAAAATAGTGCCTCACACATTGTGACATTCAGTGACTTCTAATCGATGGTTATTAGGTTGAATTAGTCCTATTAAATTTGGGTTCCATATACATGGTTTTAATTTATACATTCCATTCTATTTCATGGAAAAACGTGTTTTGCTACAATTATACCTTGACATTTTTTAAAAGAATGACAGCCAATGGAAGAAAGATATGGTATAAACTTTTTTAAGTATGTTGTTACTTTTATTTTATAGTATTCTTTTATTCTAAATAATGAATAAACAGAATGAGAATGAGAACTATGATTTTCATAGGATTGTTACATTACCTTTCATGGTGCTTTTTAAAACAGAAGCAACTATTTAACTGCAATTAAATGCATGTGTATGTGTTCACAAATGAAGTGCACAAAAGAACCAATGAAGCATCTGAAATTTCTTATGTATTACACAATATCCTAGTAAACTATAGGGTAGAACTCTATAACCAAATATTAATATATATGCAGCAACATGTATGAATATTCACATTAGAAAAGACAAAATCTAGTAAGTTCAGGTCAGATTTTTTTTTCTGCCAAATGAATTATTAAAAGAATTTTAGGTTTTCAGAGCTTTGGGGATTTTGGAATGGTAGAAAAGGGATCATGGTCATGTACTATACCTTAACAGATAATTGAGAATTTGTGACTTTTCTAGTTGGTTCATCTTTGCCATGCTTCAGACTTGCATATAGTAGGAGTTTATTAAATTTTGACTTGACATGCACACACACAAAATGTCATGACTTCTGCACATATAACCAGTTGCACATGTCACACAGAGTGAGGCAACTGATTGTTGCCTCGCTCATGCCTCTAACTGGGGACCCGGCCCACAACCCAGGCATGTGCCCTGACCAGGAATCAAACTGTCAACCTTTCAGTCTGCAGGCTGGCACTCAGTCCACTGAGCCACACCAGCCAGGGCACCAAAAACTAACTTTCGATCATGGTTGTCTTACTGGTTCATTGTAAATGGTCATGACTCTTTGAAATGGTCCCATTCTTAGAGTCAAGGAAGAAAGTTTTAAACTGATTAAGAACTTGATCTTAGCCAAAAGGTTGAGAAGTAATTAAAGAAAGAATGTTTTAATACAACAAAGAGAGATAATACAGCTATTGGGGATAGCTGGCAATAACCAACATCATCTGACCGAATGGGTAGGTGCTCAAATGAGGGTAGGCCATCATGTTTCAACAGCAGTGCTGGAAACAGTTATACCAGGAACCGTAAATGTATGTGCATAGTGTAGTGAGGGCTATGCATCAAAGGTTTGGACTTCTCAGTCTGTTATATCTAAAAAATACTTTGTTTTTTTAATCCTCACACAAGAATCTGTTTTTATTGATTTGAGAGTGAGTGGAAGGGGGAGAGAGAAAGAGAAAAAAAACATCAATGTGAGAAACATCTACGTGAGATAGAAACATCTATCAGTTGCCTTCCTTAGGCACCCCGACCAGGGATCAAACCCGCAACCTTTGGCATATGGGATGATGCTCTAACCAACTGAGCAACCCAGCCCAGGTGAGTCTATTTATATAAAATAATTATTAGTATTGTTTTTTAAATATATTTTATTGATTATGCTATTACAGTTGTCCCATTTCCCCCTTCACTCCCCTCCACCCTATACACCCTCTCCCACCCACATCCCCCCCGTTTAGTTCATGTCCATGTGTCATACTTATAAGTTCTTTAGCTTCTACATTTCTCATACTATTCTTACCCTCCCCCTATCTATTTTAAACCTACAATCTATGCTACTTATTCTCTGTACCTTTTCTCCCTCTCTCCTCCTCCCACTTCCCTGTTGCTAACCCTCCATGTGATCTCCATTTCTGTGGTTCTGTTCCTGTTCTAGTTGTTTGCTTAGTTTCTTTTGGTTTTGCTTTAGGTGTGGTTGTTAATAATTGTGAGTTTGCTGTCCTTTTACTATAGATGTTTTTTCTTTATCTTATTTTCTTAGATAAGTCCCTTTAACATTTCATAAAATAAGGGTTTGGTGATGATGAACTCCTTTAACTTGACCTTATCTGGGAAGCACTTTATCTGCCCTTCCATTTTAAATGAAAGCTTTGCTGGATAGAGCAATCTGGGATGGAGGTCCTTGCCTTTCATGACTTTGAATACTTCTTTCCGGCCCCTTCTTGCCTGTAAGGTCTCTTTTGAGAAATCAGCTGACAGTCTGATGGGAACTCCTTTGTAGGTGACTATCCCCTTATCTCTTGCTTCTTCTAGGATTCTCTCCTTCATTTTTACCTTGGCTAATGTAATTATGATGTGCCTTGGTGTGTTCCTTCTTGGGTCCAACTTCTTTGGGACTCTCTGAGCTTCTTGGACTTCCTGGAAATCTATTTCCTTTGCCAGATTGGGGAAGTTTTCCTTTATTATTTGTTCAAATAACTTTTCCACTTGTTGATCTTCCTCTTCTCCTTCTGGTACCCCTATGATTCAGATGTTGGAACGTTTGAAGATGTCCTGGAGGTTCTTAAGCTTCTCCTCATTTTTTTGAATTCTTATTTCTCCATTCTTTCCTGTTTGGTTGTTTCTTTCTTCCTTCTGGTCCACTCTATTGTTTTGAGTGCCAGTTTCCTTCCCATCACTATTGGTTCCCTGTGCATTTTCCTTCATTTCTTTTATGGTAACCTGCATTTGCTCATCTAATTTGCGACCAAAATCAACCAATTCTGTGAGCTTCCTGATCACCAGTGTTTTGAACTGTGTATCTGATAGGTGAGCTATCTCTTGGTCACTTAAAAGGATGAGTCCTGGGGCATTGGTTTGTTCTTCTGTTTGAGCCATCTCTCTCTCTTTCTTTTCTTTTTTTTTTTTTTTTTTTTGTCTGGTCTCTCCTGTTACAGTGAGGGGTGAAGCCTTAGGTGTTCACCAGGCCTCAGCACCCCAGTTGCTAGATTGTGACTTTGTATGTGGGGGCAGGCTCAAGAGGGAACAATGGGGGTAGCTCCGTTCTCTGTGGGACCTCACTCCCTTCTCTGGGATCCTGGGTTGCGTGCTCTTCCCTGCTCCACAATCACTGCTCCACCGGGTCTGCCAGCTGCCACTTGCGTACTCAGGGTCCACCC